CACCCAAAAAAAGAGAAGGTGGGGTAAGAAGAAATAAAAGCAGGAAGAAAGGAAATAAAGCGGGGAGAAATGGAGGAAGAATAAAAGAGAGGGAGGGAAGAAGGTTAATAGCAAATTATCAATAGCGGGGCAAAAAGTCCCTGATGGCATTAAAACAAGAATTTTGTTCCCCCGGAGAGCTTAACTTTGCTTCAGCAGAAAATAACTAGCAAACATTGTTTTTCCCAATTACATCTGAGCCCCTGAAACCTCAGGTTCTCCAGGGAGTGGGTATTGATCTCTTATACCCCAGCTATGTACTTGCTGATGAGGAGGAACTGAAAAGAGAGATCTTGATCAGCAATCAGTGCCAGTTGCAGAAAGAGAACATATAGACAACCTCAAAGTAAGTAAAACAAAGCAAATAGCATTTTTTTCAAAATCTGCCATGTACCATGCCAGTGCATGGTGAAAATTTTAGAGCAAAAGATTAGCCAAAGCCCCAGAATGTTTCACCTCAAAACCAGGAGGAATGACTTCATCCCTAGTGATTTACTGAAAATAAAGGGATGGGTTTGATTCAGTCTGAGTATCACCTGGAAAATAACATGAATGAACAAATGATTGAATGAATAAACTGATTGCTCAATTAACCAATCAATATAATATGCCTTTAATGAATTATTTGCATTGTTATTAAAGTCATTTGCTGGGCATACCTTCCATGCCCAGCCCTGTGCTGAGAAATTTACATAAATTTACATAAATCTGCTCACTTAAACCTCACATCACTGCACAATAGACTTTACTTTTTCTTCTTCATTTTTTAACTTTTTATTATGAAATATTTATAGATTCACAGGAAGTTCCAAAGGTAATAGGGAAAGGGATCAAATATCCTTCATATACTTTTTCCTCAAGGGTTCAATCTTACATAATTACAATATGACATCAAAACAGAATTTTGATACTGGGACAGTTGTGTATATAGCTCTATGTCATTTCATACGTGTGTAGATTTATAGAGCTACCACTGCAGTGAAGATACAGACTTGATCATCACAGATCTCAGATTCTACATGTCTCCTTTGTACCCCTTCTGGTCACACCATGCCCCTCCTCTTACCACCCCAACGTCTAGCCATCACCAATCTGTTCTCTATTTCTATAATTGTATCATTTTCATAATGCTTTGTAAATGGAATCATATAGCATATGTCCTCTTGATGTTGGCTTTTTTACACTCAGAATAATGCCCTTGATAGTCATCCGAGCTGCTGCATGTATCAATAGTTTATTTCTCTTTATTTTTGGAAATATTCCATAGTATGGATGTAATAAAATTGTTAAATCACTCATTTACTGTAGGGCATTTGATTGTTTGCAGATTTTGGCTACTACAAATGAAAATGTTATAAAAAAATTTGTACAGGTTTCGTGTGAATATAAGTTTTATGCAAATATAATTGCCCACAAGTCCAAGGACTGGGTTGTATGGTAAGTGTATGTCTAGCAGCTTTTTACAAAACTGCCAAACTATTTTCCAGAGTGACCACCATTTTCACCAGCAATGTATGAGAGATCCAGTTACTCTGAGTCTTTCCCAGCATTTGCTATTGTCACCTTTTTCTTATTTTAGCCATTCTGTAGTGACATCTCACAGGTAGTGTAGTGATATCACATTTTGTTCTTACTTTGCATTTCCCTAATGGCTAATGATGTTGGACACCTTTTCATGTGCTTATTTACCATCCATATAGCACTTTTTGGTAAAATGTCTGTTCATGTCATTCAGGCATTTTCTAATTTGATGTTGTTGTTGTTGTTGTTGTTGTTGATATTGTTGTTTGGGAGTTCTTTATATTCTCTAAATACATGTCCTTTATCACATATGTTGTCTGAAAATATTTTCTTCCAGCGTAGGGTGATTTTCATTCTCTTCACTGGGTCTTTAACAGAGCAAAAGTTTCAATTTTAATGAGATCCAACTGTTGAATTTTTGAGGAGGGGATTGTGCTTTTGATGTCATGTCTAAGAATTCTTCACAACACCTCTCCTAAAAATTTTGCCCTAAATATTTTGTCTTAGATTACTCTCTAAAAGTTTTATGGTTTTATATTTTACATTTAAAGCTAAGATTCATGTTGAGTTAATTCTTACATAAGGTATGAGTTTTAGGTTTGGGTTCATGTTTTTGTCTATGAATATCCAGTTGTCTCAGCACTATTTTCTAAAATGCCTTCCTCCATTGAACTGAACCTGCTCAAAAATCAAATGACTGCACATGTGTGGATCTATTTGTGGATTCACTATTTTGCTCCATCTTTGTATCTCTCTTTCCACCAATTCCACAGTGTTAACTATTGTAGATAGAGAAAAAATATCGGTGTTAGGTAAAGTGATTCATCTCATTTTCTTCTTTGTTTTCAGAATCGTATTAGCTATTCTAGCTTCTTTTCTCTTCCCTATAAATTTAGAATATTCTTGTTCACACGCTAAAAATACTATGCTGAGATATTGATTGCATTTGTGTTAAACCTGTACATCAATTTGGGGAGAACTGACACCACTATATGGAGTCTTGTATCTCCTAAACACAATGTATCTATTTATGTAGATCTTCTTTTATTTCTTTTATCAGCATAATTGTAATTTTCATCATAAAGTCCTACAATAGTTGTGTTATATTTCTACCTAAGTATTTCATTTTTTGAACTATTATCAATGGTGTTGTGTTTATTCCAGTTTCCACAAGTTCATTGTTATGAAAATAGTATGGATTTTTTTAGAACTGTCGTGTATTCTGCAACTTTTCTGAACTCACTTATTACTTCAAGAAGTTTTTGGTAGATTCTTGGAATCTTCTACATAAACCATCATGTCATCTACAAGTGGCAGTTTTATTTCTTCTTTTCTGATCTGTATCACTTTTATGCCTATATATCCTTTCCTTTGGCTAGAACTTCCCAAATTCTGTTGAATAGCACTGAAGAGAATGAGTATCCTCACCTGTTCCCAATTTTAGGAGCAAGCATTTAGTCTGTAACTATCAAGTAGGATGTTAGTTATAGGTTTTTATGTAGATGTTCTTCATCAGTTGCGGAAATTGCCCTCTATTCCTTGCTTTCAGAGATTTTTAAGATATTAAGTAGATATTGAATTTTGTCAAATTCTTTTTGTTCATCAATGTATACGATCCTGTGATTTTTCTCTTTAGACCTGAATATACCCAACTTGGCCATTGTGTATAATTTCATACGCATAGCTGAGTTCTATTTGCTAAATTTTTAAAAGACTTTTTGTCTATATTCATTAAAGATACAGAACTATGGTTTTCTTTTTTGTGTGCTATTTAGTCTGCTTTTGCTAGTAGGATAATACGGGATTCACAGAATAAGTTGGAAAATGTTCTTTTCACATCTGTTTTCTGAAAGAAATTGTATAGAATTAAGTTAATTCTTTTTTATACGTTTAGTGAGTTTTCCAGTGATATTTTATACGTTTTTAAATTATAAATTCAATTCTCTTCATGGCTGTATGGTTATTCAAATAATCACTTTCATATGGGTTAGTTTATGCTTCTCATGTTTGTAGTATTCTCTTATTATCATTTTTTTCTGTCTGCAGAGTCTGTAGTGATACCTCCGTTTTTTCCTGACTTAGTAATTTGTATCTTCTCTCTTTTATCTTTGCCAGACCTTCTAGAGGTTTGTCAGTTTTATTGATTTTCTTCAAAACCCGCTTCTTGTTTCATAGTGTTTTAAATTGTTTTTCTTTTTCCAGTTCATTGAGTTCTGTTCTTAGATTTATTATTCTACATATTTTAAATTTTTTTCTTCTTTTTCAATATTTTTCAAGTAGAAGATTATATCGATGATTTGAGGCTTTTTCTCTTTTTTAGTGTAAGCATTTAGTGCTATGGGATGCCCACTAAACACTGCTTTAACTGCACCCCATAAATTTTAAGTATTGTATTTTCATCCAGTTCAATATTTTGTATTTCCCTTGTGACTACCTCTTTGACCCAAGGATTGTTTATAAATGCATTGTTTTGTTTCCAACCATCTGGAGAGTTTCCTGTTACATGTCTGTTGTTTATATCTTGTTCAATCTCATTGTGGTCAGGAACACATACTGTGTGAATTCCATTCTTCTAAAATTATATGGATTATGTATAATCTATTTTGATATATATTCTACAAGTGCTGGAAAAAATATGTATTCTAGTCATGTGAGATGGACTGTTCCATAACTGTCACTGATATCCTGTTGGCTGAAGGTGTCGAGTTCTTCTATATCCTTGCTGATTTTCCATATAGTCCTACAAATTGTTGAGAAAGGAATATTAAAATCCCCAATTATAGATTGGCCTTTACCTCAATTCAATTTTTTTCAGTTTTTCCTTTATATATGTTGTAGTTTACTTGTTTGGTGCCTACACATTTAGGATTGCTATTTCTTCTTGATTAGCACTTTTGTTATTATGTAATGTTCTTCTTTGTCCTTGGTAATATTCTTTGCTGTAAAATATACTTTATCTAATATTTACATAGCCATACTTTCATTCTTTTGATTAATGTTTGCATGAGATATGTTTTCTTCCTTTTATTTCAAACCTACATGTATCATTATATCTGAAGTGAGTTTCTTGTACACAGAATATGATTATGTCATTTTTCTATCCACTCTTCCATATCCTTTCTTTTAGTTGTTATTAAATGAAAGAACCATGAAACATCAGAAGGTTAAGAAAGTGGAAAGAGGCCGGGCACAGTGGCTCATACCTGTAATCTCTGCACTTTGGGAGGCTGAGGCCGGCGGATCACTTGAGGTCAGGAGTTTGAGATCAGCCTGGCTTACATAGTGAAATGCCATCTCTACTAAAAATAGAAAAAGTAGCCGGGTGTGGTGATGGGCACCTGTAATACCAGCTACTCGGGAGGCTGAGCAGGAGAATCACTTGAACCTGGAAGGCAGAGGTTGCAGTGAACCGAGATCACACCACTGCATCCAGCCTGGGCGACAGTGAGACTCAAAAAAATAAAAAGAAAGAAAAGCAAGTAGAAAGAGCAAAATACGACAGTCTTTTATTCTATCTTGAGTTTTTAAAATGATGATTGAGGGTTGAAGCAAAAATTGTAACACTGTCTAAGGCAGTTCTCAGTGTATGTGGAGGAAATGGTTAAGACATATTTATATTATAAGTGGGAGACAGTAAAGAAATGAAAAAGGAAGTAAACTTTCCACACGTCACTAAAACTGGTAAAATGGACACAAGTTATGATTATACAAACATACCTCAGAGACATTGTGGGTTTCGTTCCAGACCACCTCAATTAAGTGACTCTCACAATAAAGTAAGTCACACAAATATTTTGGTTTCCCAGTGCATACAAAAGTTATGTTTATACTGCACTGCAGTCTATTAAATGTGCAATAGCATTATGTCTAAAAAAGTATATGCCTTTATATAAAAATACTTTTTGCTAAAAATGCTGACACAAGGATATTAAATGAGCACGCGCTGCTGGAAAATGCTGCTAATAGACTTGCTTAATGCAGGATTGCCACAAACCTTTAATTTTATTTTTTAAAAATGCAATATCTGTGAAGCACAATAAAACAAGCCATGCCCATATAATGCAACAGCTAGAGCAACCACTAAAAAGGGCTATACAGATATCTAATAAAAACACTATACAAAAAAAATCACTATAACTGCACCAAAATGGGATTATAAGAAAAAGTTCAAGTGGCCCACAGAAACTCAGGAAAAAGAAGAGAGAAATAAAAAACAAAAAGACTAGTTAAAATAACGAAATGGCAGGCAACTTTAGAGCATCAATGACCACATAAAATATAGTTTTCTTCATTTTTAAAACAATAAAGGTCATGAATTCCCATTATAAAAGTGAAAGTTCAGAAGTTCGTAAGTTTACAAAATAATGTTCTTTTTTACCTAATGCCACACCCATGAATAACTATACTCGAATTTGGTGTGCACATTTTCTGGCATTTAGCCACAAATAAATAAAGAGAATGAAAGCAAGAGACATTAAGAGTGATGGAGAGTTTAGTTTTTCAAATGGTCCAAATCTACATATTTTTCTACAACATGCTTTTCTCTTTTGACTCCATAAGAGTACATATTTATCTCTCTGCCTTAGACTAGGTATTAATAAATAATATAAATCTACTGAAATGTATACAATTCTATTTCCTGATTTTGCTATTAGAAGATTTTTGTTAATTTGTTTTCAATGCAAGTTACACAATATTCTATTATATATAATATGCATGTTATTGATACTATAAACAAGTGAATGAACATAATTAACTTCTAGATGAGTTCTGTGATCCCCATTGTGCAGGGGAAGTAACTAGGGCCAAAGGAAATTATATGCTTTTTTCCATTAACTGGTGAGACAAAAATTCAAAACCAGGGTTACCTATTTCCTTTCCACTGCACAACGTTGACTATTAATGAAGCCTGAGAGACCCAGCACTACCCATATGTTAAGCATGTTTAAAATGCTAGGGTAAACCCCCCATGGCATGAGTTTACCTATGTAACAAACCTTCACATGTACCACCAAATATGAATGCTTAAAAAAAGCTTGGATAGTTGGCCATTTTCTTTGTAGCATCCATTTGATTAGAAAACACCTTCAACATAGATGAAACAAACTACTTCATATTGAACCAGCCAACAATTAGCTCAATATAAACATAGAAATGTACAGATTCTGTGCGTGATTGGAAGGGGGTTACACTAGTTTCCTTAGCTCTTGAAAAGCATCCTCATATTTTCATATTATTTTATTTAAATCCAGATAATTAAAGTCAAGTTGATATGATAAATGTCATTATTCTGTCACAATTCTAACTGAAGTAGACTTCTGGCCTATTCAAGCTTCCTCTAGTAAGTGTTTATCCAAATGAAAGAAACACTTTTTGAAAGGACTGCATTTCTTTCATTTTACAGTAAATTTACCCTAGGAAGAAACTTATACTAACTTAATATACCTCAATATTCACTAAATGTTAAATTGAAAAGAATTGTTTCTGCTTTCTTGTTCCTCCACTACAGAACAGAAAAAAAAAAAAAAAAAGCAATAGAAAATGTAAGGCTCTCAGACATCCATTATATAACAGGTTTATTTTGCTTGTAAAGAATATCACCTAGATGGGAGTTGCATTCTAAGGATACTAATACAAAGATACTTTGAAGACTTCAAACATATGTAAAGCGTGAACATATTTAGGGAAATTTAACTGTAATTTATTCAACTAATTTCAAGAGCTTTATCCAAAATTAAAATAGTAGGTGGCTGTGAATAATTATAGGTTTCTAAAGGGGTACAAAATTATGTTTTAATATTACTTTAGGTATGGATGCCTGTTTAATATATTGAAAAATTGTTCATCTATATTTCTAAGAACTACACACATTAGAAGTCAGTCTTCTTCTGAGACAAACTTTTTCATTTTGAAGACAAATTCATTTCCTCTTTCATCAAGTAAATCACTCTTTACTTGATGATTGTAAGTAAATTTTTATATTTGAGATGTAAATAACACTATTGTGAGTATTTGTCATGAAAATCCAAATAGAAAAAAGTGACATGAAATATAGAGCCATTTCATTGCGAGAAGTCTCAAAGATTCCCTGCTTTTCTGGGTCCTTCATTTGGTCATTTCTAGACTTTTGGTAGCCATGGCACGAGGAAACAGCACTGAAGCGACTGAATTCTGTCTTCTGGGATTTGGTGCCCAACAAGAGTTTTGGCATATCCTCTTCATTGTATTCCTTCTCATCTATGTGACCTCCATAACGGGTAATACTGGAATAATCTTACTCATCAACACAGATTCCAGATTTCAAACACCCATGTACTTTTTTCTACAACATTTGGCTTTTGTTGATATCTGTTACACTTCTGCTATCACTCCCAAGCTGCTCCAAAGCTTCACGGAAGAAAAGAATTTTATATCATTTTGGCGCTGTGTGATACAATTCTTAGTTTATGCAACATTTGCAACCAGTGACTGTTATCTGCTGGCTATGATGGCAGTGGACCGTTATGTTGCAATCTGTAAGCCCCTTCACTATACCATAATCATGTCCCGAAGAGTCTGCATCCATTTGGTAGCTGGTTCATACATCATGGGCTCAATAAATGCCTCTGTACATACAGGTTTTACATTTTCTCTGTCTTTCTGCAAGTCCAATAACATCAATCACTTTTTCTGTGATGGTCCCCCAATTCTTGCCCTTTCATGCTCCAGTATTGACATCAACCTCATGCTACTTGTTGTCTTTGTGGGATTTAACTTGATGTTCACTGGGTTGGTCATCATCTTTTCCTACATCTACATCATGGCCACCATCCTGAAAATGTCTTCTAGTGCAGGGAGGAAAAAATCCTTCTCCACATGTGCCTCCCACCTGACTACAGTCACCATTTTCTATGGGACGCTCTCTTACATGTACTTACAGTCTCATTCTAATAATGCCCAGGAGAATATGAAAGTGGCCTCTATATTTTATGGCACTGTTATTCCCATGTTGAATCCTTTAATCTACAGCTTCAGAAATAAGGAAGTAAAAGAAGCTTTAAAATTGATAGGGAAAAAGTTCTTTTAAATTAGCCCCAGTTATTAACATTCAGCACAACAAATCATCCCACATAGCTGTTCTACCAAAATTTAATGTTTCTACAATAGGAAACATGTAGAAAGATGTTAAATTAATAATCTAACATCACATGTAGAGGAATTAGAAAAACGAGAGCAAATCAACCACAAAGCTAGCAGACGACAAGAAATAACTAAAATCAGAATAGAACTGAACAAAATTGAGACCCAAAAATTTATATAAAAAATTAATGAAACCAAAATTTGTTTTATTGAAAGGATAAATAAGATTGGTAGGCTGCTAGCTAGATTCACTAAGGTAAAAAAAAAAAAAGGAAAAATCCAAATAAGCACAACCAGAAAGGACAAAGGTGACATTACAGCCAATCCCACAGAAATACAAAAGATACTCAGAGAATATTATGAACACTTTTATGCAAATAGACTAGAAAATATAGAAGAAATGGATAAAATCCCAGCAACCCACAAACTCCCAATTTAATAAGGAAGAAATTGAAACCCTGAGCAGACTGGTAACAAGTTCTGAAGTGAAAACAGTACTAAAAATCTACCAACCAAAAACAAAGCACAGACCAAATGTATCTGCAGTCAAATTCTACCAGATGTAAAAGGAAGAGCTGGTGCCAATTCTACTGAAATTATTTCAAAAAATTGAGCAGGAGGGACTCCTTTGCAATTCATTCTATGAAACCAGCATCAGGTCTCTGATACCAAAACCTGGCAAAGACACAACAAAAAAAGAAAACTACAGGCCAATATTCCTGATTAACATAGATTCAAAACCATCAGTGAACCAAATTCAACAGCACCTCAAAAGTTAATTCACCATGATCAAGTAGGCTTCATTCTTTGGATGCAAAGTTGGTTCAATACATGCAAATCATGAAATGTCATTCAACACATAAACAGCATTTAAAACAAAAACTACAAGATCTCAATAGATGCAGGAAAAGCCTTCAATAAAATGCAACATCCCTTCATTATAAAAATTCTCTACAAACTAAGCATCAAAGCAACATACCTCAAAATAAGTGCAATCTATGACAAATTCACAGCCAATGTCACAATGAAGGGGCAAAATCTGAAGGCATTCCCCCTTGAAAACTGGAAGAAGACAAGGGTGCCCACTCTCACCATAGTTCAACATAGTTCTAGAAGTCTTAAGCAGAGCAACAGTCAAGAGAAAGAAACAAAAGGCACTCAAATAGGAAAAGAAGAAGTCAAACTATCTCTCTTTGTGGACTATATGATTCTATATCTAGATAACTCTAAAGACTCTGTCAAAAGGCTCCTGGAGCTGATAAATGAATTCACTAAATTTTTAGGTTACTAAATCAATGTACAAAAATCACTAGCACTTCTAAATATCAGTAATGTTAAACCGAGAACCAAATCAAGAATACAATTCAATTAATAATAGCTACCAAAAAAAAAAAAATATCTAGGAATACATCTAACCAAGTAAAAGAAATATCTCTACAAGGAGAGAATTATAAAACACTACTCAAAGAAATCAGAGAGGACATAAAAAAATGGAAAAACAGTCCATGCTCATGGATTAGCATAATTAGTATCATTAAAATGGCCATACTACCCCAAGCAAACCACAGATTCAGTGCTATTCCTGTCAAATCACAATGCCATTTTTCACAGAATTAGAAAAACTATTCTAAAATTCATATGAAACTGGAAAAGAACCCAAATAGCCATAGCAATCTTTAGCAAAAAAACTAAGCTGGAGGCACCACATTATCTGATTTCAAGACATACTATAGGGCTACAGTAGCCAAAACAGCATGACACTAGTACAAAAACAGTAACATAGACCAGAATAGAGAACCTAGAAAGAAAGCCACACACACACACACACACACACACACACACAGACACACACGGCTATCTGATCTTTACCAAAGTCAACAAAAGTAAGCAATGGAGAAAGGACTTACTCAATAAATGGTGCCGGGATAATAGGCTAGCTATATACCAAGAAAATAAAACTGAACACCTACATTTTACCATATACAAAAATTAACTTAAGATGTATTAAAGAGATAAATGTGAGACCTCAAACTATAAGAATCCTGGAAGAAAACTTGGGAAGCATCATTCTGAACATCAGCCTTGGGAAATAATTTATGACTAAGTCCTCAAAAGCTATAGCAACAAAAAATTTGACAACTGGAACCTAATTAAATTAAAGACCTTCTGCATAGCAAAAGAGACTATCAACAGAGTATACAGGCAACCTACAGAATGGGAGAAAATTCTCAGAAACTATGCATCCAATAAATATAATTTCCATAATGTATAAAGAACTTAAATCACTCAGCAAGCAAAAAACAAGTAACCCCATTAAAAAGTGGGCAAACAATATGACCAGATACTTCTCAAAAGAGGACATACAAGAAGACAACAAACATATGAAAAAATGCTCAACAAGACTAATTATCAGAAAAATGCAAATCAAAATCACAATGAGATAACCATCTCATATCAGTCAGAATGTCTACTATTAGCAAGTCAAAAAGCAATACATGCTGGCCAGAACGTGGAGAAAGGGGAATGCTTATACACTGCTGGGAATGTAAATTAGTTCAGCCACTGTGGAAAGCAGTCTGGAGATTTCTGAAAGAACTAAAACAAACTATCATTTGACTGAGTAATCCCATTACTGGATAATATCTAAAGGAAAATAAATTTTTCTACAAAAAAGACACATGTGCTTGTGTGTTCATCACAGCAACATTCACAACAGCAACAGCATAGAATCAGCCTAAGTGTCCATCAGCGGTGAATTGGATAAAGAAAATACGGTACATATACATCATAGAATACCACACAGCCATAAAAATGCAAAACTCAGGTGCTTTGCAGCCACATGGCTAAAGCTAGAGGCCATTATCCTAAGCGAATTAACACTGGAACAGAAAAGCAAATACCACATGTTCTCATGTATAAGTGCAAGCTAAATATTGGGGACACACAGACACAAAGATGGGAAAAACAGACACTGGGAAATACTAGGGCGGAAGGGAACAAGTGGGGCAAGGGTTAAAAAAACTAACTGTTGAGTGCTATTGAAACAGAAGAGTTCTCTAATCCCCCGAGCGACAGGGGTGTGGCTCACCTTTTCTGTTACCACTGCTGCTCAAACCCCTGATGGAAGGGGAAGCACACAGACAGTCAGGTGCTGGAGCTGGGACAAGTGCTTTGGGCTCTGGCAACATGGTACTGTCTAGGGGTGGGTGCCTGTGGCCCCAGTATTACAATGCTCTTTTAGCCTTGCCATTCGCAGACAGCTTAAATGTTAACCAGCTCAATGGACCCTCTGTCGTTTTGCAAGGGCAAAGGGCCAGTGTGACCGCTTTCTGTATCCCGAGCTCTTGTCCAGCATCCCAGAAAAATTGAGTCACACACGGGCTTGAAGGATGAATGCAGGATTTTATTGAATGGTGGAGTTGGTTCTTAGTGGGATGCGTGGGGAGCTGAAAGGTGGATGGAGTGGGAAGATGTAGTAAAAATAGTTGCTAATCTATGCTGGAGTTTACTTGAATGTCACTATGCCGATCGTCATCTTCAAGGACACACATGTCTTCCATCATCCTGAGCTTGCCCTCTGCTATGGGTCTTTTTCCACAGGTGTCTTCCACCTGACAACTGCCACCGTTGTCTTTGGAGCACTCTCTTACATGGACTTACAGCCTGAATCTACCGTGTTTCAAGAGCAAGAAAAGCCAGCATCCATATTTTGCGGCATTATGACTCTCATGTTAAACTTCCTTATCCACTGCCTGTGAAATTAGGAAGTAAAAGAAGCTCTACAGTTAACAAGGAAAAACTATTAATACATGTAGAGTGAGGGTAAATTACTAACACTGAGCATCAGAAGTATCCTGTGGTGAGCGCCCTGACATATTTGCTGATAGCATATTCGTCAAAGCAAGTTGCAAGGCCAACCCGGACCTGGATTCAAGGTGTTGGAGTAGCAGGCTCTACTGCCTGATGGAAAGATCTGCAACATTGCATCACAATGATATGAATGTAACAAAGGAGAAACTTGGGGACCATTTTTATAACCTACCACAACATGTTCTTACTAAATTGTTTTTTAGCTGACACCCTTATCAGAATATGAATCATCCTGCCATAGATGTAGATATGAGAAACAAACTGAATCTCTGTAAAGGCACAATAATTTACATTTGCTCATTATCTATTAATTGTCAGGAATATATAAAGTGCTCACTAAGTAGTTGTTGAATTAATGAACAAAGAATTCAACTAATGAATTAACGAACAAATTCAAGCCTCTTTGTTTGCCAAGAGGCTTTGGTCACTGGAAAGTCCAACAATGTGGTTTATGATGGGGGCTTCAGGACATGCCATATCAGTTTTGATTTCCAGAGAACAGGAGACAAAAGGTTTTATGCTGATCCTCCAGAAAGGCTGGGAATTAAACATCAATTACATGCGCAGTATACAATCGAGCCCTGATTTAAAAAAACCCTGAGCATCACAGGCTCAGGTGAACTTCCTGGGTTGACCCGAACCCAGTATGCATGACAACTCCATGCATCAATTGCCATACATTGATATGGTGAAAGTATGATGGAAACTTTATGTTTGCACCCCTCTCAGACCTGGCCTTATGTTTCTCTTTGTTTGTTGGTTTAATTTGTATTCTTTGGCTATAATAAATCTGTAATTGTATGTATAGTCTTAAACAATTTCCTAATGTCTTAATTCACATTCTATACTAAATAACCATACACTGAGTGACTACAAGTAAAAGAGGCCAGGCACAGTGGCTCACACCTGTAATCCCAGCACTTTGGGAGGCCAAGACGGGTGGATCACGAGGTCAGGAGATTGAGACTATCCTGGCTAATATGGTGAAATCCCATCTCTACTAAAAATACAAAAAAATCAGCTGGGCGTGGTGGCACATGCCTGTAGTTCCAGCTACTCGGGAGGCTGAGGCAGGAGAATGGCGTGAACCTGGGAGGCGGAGTTGCAGTGAGCAGAGATTGCGCCACTGCACTCCAGCCCAGGCGACAGAGCAAGACTCTGTCTCAAATAATGAAGAAGAAAGAAGAAGAAAGAAAGAGAAAAGAAGAAAGAAGAAGAAGAAGAAGAAGAAGAGGAGGAGAAGAGGAAGAGGAGGAAGAGAAGAAGGAGGAGGAGGAGGAGGGAAGGAAGGAAGGAAGGAAGGAAGGAAGGAAGGAAGGAAGGGAAGAAGGAAGGAAGGAAGGGGAAGGAAGAAGGAAGGAGAAGGAAGAAGAAGGAAGAAGAAAATAATTTATTTCTCACAGTTCTGGGAGACCGGAACAATTCCACCCCAACCCCCAAATTAATGTCCTGCTGAC